AACTCTCTGGGGTCCTTTTCATTAGGATATTAATTCCACTCATGAGGGTACCTCATGATATAATGACCTCCTGAAGTCCTTGTCTGCTAATACATCACCTTGGGGCTACAGCCCTAACAAATGAATCTGGAGAGAAACACACACATTCATCCATAATCACCATTGTTCTTGAACACCCATGTATTAAGAAAGCTTTTATTAAGATAGTTTTTCTTGGACTTTTCTGGGTCTCTTGTGGGGTTACTAAATCCTAGGGTAAGCAAAAATTTTGTGTGCCAAATAATGTTTCATAATTCCACACTCATGTTACGGAAGGACTAAGCTCATTTAAAGGTTGAGGTCAGTCACTGGTCTACTAATCACCCAAAGAAGAACTAGGTCTGTTAGCAACGGAAAGTACAGGCGAGGGCACTGGGGCTTAGTTTGTGCTGTGGTATTTTAGTTATGCATCAGACAAATGATCTGGAGTAGGACAAGGAAGACTGAGGCACCTGGGAAGCCCAGCTATTTTGCAGACTTAGTGGTCCAGATTGAAACCATTATAACCCTACATGCACCCAGAAACACACCAAGTGCATTCCAGAACTCAGAGCACAAAAGCCACAGGATAGTTCAGCAGTAAGCCACACTGATTCAGCACTGAGGATGAGAGTCAGATATCAAAGTCCAGAGACTGTCTCAAGTCAGGCCAAACCTAATAGTCCACATGCTGGTCACAAAGAACAACACTTGAAAAGCAGACAGTGAACAGGGAATAATCCTGTAGCCTCTGGTTTACACAAAATACCTCTGTTAATTTCCATTCGTCTTTCTTTAAAGTTTAGGAAAGTCCTTTGGAAATTCCACTTTTTCTGGGCTATGTGAAGAGGAGTTTTGTTTAATGGAGTGTAGACTCCTAACAGAGAAAGCCTTGAGAGCCACGGTCATCATAGTGGAGAATCTCAAGGGAAATCATTTCACGGTAGACTCGTCATGCTGCCTGCCATGCCCCTGACCCCCTCCTCACTGTGATGCCTCCATAGCTAAGAATTTAGGGGGCATATGACTTACTTTTTAAGCAGAAATGATTCTCTATAGTCTACAAGAAATGCATCAGGCAGTAAATAGGTAAGAATAGGGAAATGAGTAGTAAAACAGTCAAGATACTAGTGCAAACTGAGGCACTAAGATATAAGACACATATTGGGTCACAGTAATGAGTAGGTAGAATAATTTTAGAAACTCACTATGCATTCATCAGTGCATTTCCCGTCTCCCTTGGGCACAGATTTGCATTACATTTCTAGCCTCTGCAGTTGTATGTAGCCACGTGACTGAGTTGGCTCCAAATGAGAAGTGATGCACACCATTTCCAGCCCTTGCCCAAACCAACCTCCCAAAAACACTTCTCTTTGACTCTGCAGAACAACTTTGGAAGCTGAGCCTGGAAGATGGCATGGATAGAAGGATCTGGGGTCTGTGCATCTCTGCTGGGGAACATGACCACTGAGTAGGAATACCTAGGAATTTTACATCTGAGAAAAATGCTTTTGCCTTTGGTGTAAAGTAACAGTGATTTAGGGTTTATCTACAGTGGCAGCTTGTTTTACCTTACAATTACTCTTCTAAATTATGGGGAAACTACAGAGATGCTCAGAAACATCAGACCAGAAAGCAGTCATCGTTAAGGGCATGTGCTGCCAGCTGCTGTATGTTGGCCCATCTGAATGTTTCCTTCTCTATCCAGTTCACCTTCTATTCACGGCCAAGTGTGTTGAGATAGAAGTTTACATGTATTTTCTGCAGTACCTCCTGTGCAAGGCATTCTTCTTTCTGTGCAATCTCAGACACTCTCACACTCTGCCAGAACCAGCTATGACCTTGCAGCTGTCAAGTCCAACCAAACACTTTTCAGTCCTTATGGAGCAGCTTTTAATATACAACAGTATACATTTTAAGAAATGTTACATTTTTAGTTTTCTCCACAAACTCATCTGTTTCTGTGTTCTCTTTCCTAGCAGAAATAGAAGTCTAAATTCAACCATTATTGGGGTTCATTTCTCATGTTAGAAGTCTAATTCAACCATTATTGGGGTTCATTTCTCATGTCCTTGGTCTCACAAAGTTCAAGGTGTCCTTGGTCTCACAAAGTTCAAGGTTTTAGACAGCACAGCACAGAACAGAACAGAACAGAACAGCACAGAACACTGGGGTAGTGTCTACGAAAGTCTGTAATGACGTGTTTTTGTCCATCATATGTATCCTTTGGAGGCTACAAGTTTCCCTGATTCCATTTTAAGCCTGACACTGTTGTGCTAGATTTCTTTGCTGGATAGATATCACACTTGTCACCTAGCTGTGGGTTAAAGGAATAATACACCAGGCTCAGCTTATTTCCCTGCCCTTTAGGGCTCTCTCCTTGCACTCCCAGTTTTGTAGTCCCCCTGAAGCTCTTCCTCTGCTCTCAAAAAACTCAGTTCTTCACTCCCTAGGGAATTAAACATCCTTGATCTCTAAATTCAAAATATGTGCTTGAACTGGGAAAAGGTTAAAACGTCTCTCACCAATACATTTATCCAGAAATAAAAGCCTCACCAGAGAGCATGTGGCCCTTTTTAAAAATAATCTTCATGTATCTTTCTGAGGCTTACAATATCCCCTTCTTGCAAGTCTCTCCTTGATGAATTTGATGAATATTCTGCATTAGTTTCCTTTCATTCCCTTGGTTATTGCTCCGTTCTCTTTGTTTTCCCTGTCCCTCAATCAGTGGTATGCTTTTCCTCCTTAGTCCTAGAAATATTTTGAAAAACTATATACTCTCTTTGTATATGCTTAAGAGGATATCTAATTTTTTATTTTAAGTAGTTTATTTTAAGTAGGTTTTATAGTATATTCAAAGTATCAGTATTTTAAAATATTACCATTATACCATTCTTTTAAACAGATCTAATGGAATCTTTAAAAAACACATGGTGGTTTGTTATATCCTACTAATATCTGTACTTAAAAATATTTCAACAAGCTCTTTTTTGTGACAGTTGTTATCTCATCAGGCTCATTTTCCCCTTTGATATATTTTCTTTCCCACAGAATTTAACTGTTATGTATTTGTTTGGTAGTTTTCAGTTTTTTATTAATCACCACCTTCTTTGGGAAAAGTCACTAAAATTTACTTGGCTTCCCATAGTTATAAGACTCTAAATGTTAAAGATTTCTTTAGGTTTGTATTTTTATTATAATAATTATTAGTATGCAGTTTATAAAATATATTTATAATTCTAAATTTGATACATGTTTGTTAAATAGAACAGCAAAGCTTTACATCAACTTTATTATACTTTATATGCTAAAGTTTAACCATTTTTAAGTGTGCATTTTGGTGCATTTGGATAATTGTGTGCCATTATATACAAACAACACCAACTCAAGATCAACACAAAACATTTCCTTGGCCCCAAAAGTTTTCTCTTGCCTCTTTGCAGGCAGCCCACAGACCTAGTCTCAGAGGAGTACTGATTTGTTTCTGTCACTACAATTGTGCCATTAAGAAAAACATTTTTCCAGGCCTGGTGGGATATACCTTTAATTGTAGCACTTAGGAGGCTGAAGCAGGAGGATCATGGAGTTCAAGGTCAGCCTGAATTTAGCAAGACTCTCATTTTGGAAATGTGTCTTTTAATTTATATGGCTAGAGGTACATACAAATGTAATTAGATCTGTATGCCTATCCATATTTACCGTTTCTCACTAGTTTAGTTATCTGTTGATAATTATTTCTTGTTGGAATGTGACAGGATGGAGCATTAGCCCTATCCCAATTTTTCATTTTTACACACATAAATTCGGAGAAACCTTATAAACTCACACAAATAGTTGAAAGAGAAAAGAAGCTGTTTTGCTTATTTTGTCTTGTTTTATTTTTATGGCAGTGTTTCTCAATTATTTGAACTCTTTTTGAATTATGCCAAAAAATCACAAAGTACTGTTTAACCACAGACTTCCGATGGTCCAGTGAGGTCCTATGCTGATTTGGATGGCCACAGGGATGAAGGCCAGTTGGCTGGCAGAGGGTCTGTTACCTAGTCCCGGAGTCAGTGGCTGTCTCCGAACAGACAGTAGTTGCAGTTGCTCCTCTGAAATACCAGAGGGTGTTCCCCCTCTGGGGTAAAGCAACACCGCACTGTGAAGGGAGTGCCCTTCTTTTGGAAGCTGTAGGAGAAGTAATTGGAACAAGATAAGAAAAGATACTATTTCCTGTTCCTAGTCCATCACAGGCATGTACTCAGGCAGAGCAACTGAAGGGAAAATTGAAGCAGAAGCAGAGGATCTGGAAATAGATTCGCTTAAAACATCCACACTCGTGTATCCTGTGGAGAGTCTTCAAACACCCTCAGGGCACTTTACCCCACTTTTTTTCTGCTTAGTTAGAATTACCTTGAGTTGAGTTCCAGGTTGTGTTCTTCCATTTAGTTTTCTATGCTGTTCTAATGTGACTTAGTCCACATTTTTGGTTTCACAGCTCATGGACAAGCTGATAACTCCCAAATTCCTTGTATCTCATCTCTACTCATTGTCTGAGAAGCATATATCCAACGAGTTGTTTGACATACTCACTTTTGTGATTCCTGTCATTATATGTAAAACCTAATCCCATTCCATTTTTATGAAAAAATTCAGCCTCATAAACTGACTTAGGAAAGCAGCTAGTACTTTTCTATCACTTTATATACAGAGTGACATACCTGTATGTATAGAATAATATATTTATAGTACATAAGTGACTCCTGTAGTAAATTATTTTATTTTAAAATGAGAAAGCTAAGCAAAATTCACTGAGGTAAAGTAAAATTTCAGTGACGTGTCAAAAACATAAGAGAAACAAAAGATTGATTCTCTGCCTTCACTTAGTTGGATAGAAATTTCCTAAATAAAAATTTTAAAACCTGTACCTAATAGAGCCAAAGTTTCAAATAGATGATACAAAGCATATTTTTTCACTAATTTTAATAAACAGTAGGATAGTGCTCATTTGGCAGCACATGTACTAAAATTGGAATGGTACAGAGAAGATCAGCACAGCCCTTGTGCAAGGATGACATGCAAATCTACGAAGTATGCCCTATCTTTTCTCAAAAAGAAAATGTAGGATAAATTTTAAATCTATATAAAGGTACTATATACTATTTTTTCATAGAAATATATGACAGTTTGTGTCTAGATGTCCCCCCAAAGCCTCATGTAATCATTGGTGGGGAGGGCTTTTGGAGGTGGCTGAATCTAGAATGTGCAAAGGTGGGATTAATGATGCTGGGATTAAGGCTGGGTGATTTCTGGATCAGTCCACTGCTTGGATTGGCACTGCTCTAATCCCAGCAGTCTGGACAATATCAAAGGGGCAGAAAGAGGCTTCCCAGCCCCTCTTTCTCTCTCTCTCTTATTGCTTCTGCTGTCTTCTGCTGCCATGAACTGTTGCTCTCCTGCCATATACGAGTCTGCCTAGGAACCGGCCAATTATGGACAGAAACCTCTACAAACTGAGCTAAAAAAAAAGCCTTATCCTCTTTTAACACTGGAGGTTGGATATTTGTCTAAGAAGCAAGAGAAAAATAACTAAGACAGAATTTGAAAGCATTAAAAGTTAATCGACTGAGAAATAAGTAAATCCATAGACTTTAAGATCCAAAATAATTCCATCAACAACCACCAAGGATTTAAGAATTGTTTAGCCAGAAACAAGTTTAGATGTATAACTTCCTTGACTTCCTTCTAGTAATTTAATTCTGCACAGAAGAAAAATAGTAAGATTTTTTCCCATTCTTTTATGCATTGTATGTTCTACATGCTCACTGAATGTACATTTCCTGTCCTAAATCAGATATTTGTGGGTCGAGAGGAGAAAGCAATGTGTTAAGTTCTAATAATCTTAAGTATTGTTTGTACAAATGCAAAGTAAAAAGGCATCCTGGGCATACTTTGAGTTTTTATATACTCAAAATATATAAAATTTTATTTTTTACAAATATGACAAACAAGTAATCAACTAAGTCTTTAAAATATTCTCTCCTCCCACCCACCTTTGGTCTTATTTATTGTTTGCCAAGATGCCTACACTGTTTAATGCATGCCTTCACACATAAATCGAAACTTTAATTTTCCTTAGTTACATTTATTATTCTCAATTTCATCTCCACTGTTGGTATGTTTTTAGAGCTTGGATACTTAACTCCAAGCTTTTGTTGGTCAATAATGAATGAAGCCTCTTTTCTTGCTTTATCTGATAAGACCTCAGGTAAAAATGCAGCACATAAGTACGGGAAGCTATGTCCTGAGTAGGGAATAGATGTATTCCAGTTAAATCAATTTTATTCTTGAAATCTTGGGCTCTACTTTTAAGCTGAGAGTGATGATGTGCAGCACACAGAAGCACAAATCCAATTTTACAAAACCAAAGGTAAATTGAGCATCTCCAGGACTTTGTAGGCTCAGGTGCCCCCGATTCCCTCTCTGAAGTTGGAGCTAATTGTGTATGCACCAGATCAGTTGCTGGTGGGTGTTTTTGACACCTGAGCTCACTGGGCCAAGGAGCAAAGATTCAGGTGTATTCAGACCTGAGACCCTAAGAGTTAGGCATATCCATAGTCATACTAATTTCCCCATTTCTGCCATGTTCTTTACCAACACAGTGTCCCGGCTTCACTTAATCCTATTTTACTCAAACCACAAATGGAAATCATGTGCCACTTATTCCCACCTTTGCATGTTAAGTAAGATCAAAGAAAGTTCAATATACCAATAAGACATAGAACATTATCAATATCTTTAAATGTAATTACTTAGAATACTTTGTAATCATAAAAGTAATGCTTATTGGAAAAATAAAATTCAGACAATGATACAGAGAATGAAAAGCCAAAATTCTGCTATGTACAGCTTCTTTCCACTTAATCCCTTGGTAAGAGTTTGAGATGAGTCATTCCATATCTACTTCTGTACATTTATATATTCTTTTTAAAAACTCATCTGGTTTGCCATTCACATTAGGAAGCTGTCATTACTATGACCAAAATACCTGACCAATCCCAACTTTACAGAGGAAAAGGTTTATTTTGATTCCCAGTTCCAGAGGTTTGAGTATATGGTCAACCGACTACAAGACAGAAACATCATGGCAGAGTTGTGTGGCAGGGAAAGCCACTCACCTTATGGAAATCAGGAAGCAGGCAGTGCAAAAAGAGCCAGAGAAAGTAGAAGGGGCCAGGGAGAAGAATGCATCCTTCCAGGCTCCATTCTCTGGGACCTACTTCCAACCAGGTCCTACCCCTTAACATTATAACCCATGGACTAATCCACTGATGAGGTTAGTGTTCCGTGTCTGTGCACCCTCCTAAAGCCCCCTCTTGGTACACATGAGCCTTTGTGGAACAGTTTGATTCAAACTATAACACCATTCATATTACTAATTATTTAGATTTTCATTTTATAGTATATGTCAGAGCTCATTTTGTGTCATATTAGATTTACTTCATTTTTTTAAAGAGCTGCAAAATTTTCTACATATACTTACTTTGATTAATGATTGCCTTTTCTTTTTTGTCTTTTGATTTGAAGACACAGAAGAAAATCATAAAGATTTCAAACTGGGAGGTTTTATGACAATGTTAGGAGAGTCTTTTATCCTTGAAGAAGTAACAAAATCTTCACTGAGATGCAAAGTATTTGACATCTTGGACTCTGCTTATTAAAACCAAGCACAACCCTGTTTTAGTCATCTATTGCTGCATAACAAATCATTCCAGACTCAACATCTTAAGTAAGAAATATGTATTATCTGAGAATTTCTGTGTTCAGGAAGCTGGGAGCAGCTTAGGGTTCCGGGTGAGGTTCAGAGTTACTCACAAGCATGCACCCAAAGTATCCACAGGGCCTGCAGCCATCTGAGACTTAACTGGGTTCAGAGGATCTGCTTCCCAGATCACTCGCTTGATTTACTGGTTTAAGGGAAACTGCAGTTCTTCACCACATGGACCTCTCAAGGTTCACTTGTGACAAGGCTTTCTACAGAGCAAGCGAGCAACATAAGTGACCAAGAGACCAGGACAGAAGCTGAGATGCTGGCTAGGACCTCATCTCAGAAGTGGTTATACTTTTATTTCTGCTGCATTTTACTGACCACATAGATATCTGGGAGGAGCTGCACAAATGTAACTATCTGCAGATGAGGCTCACTTAGGGTCACCCTGTAAGCTGGCTTCCATCCGCTCACAACATTTGTGCGACAACAGTACCCTACACATCCTTCCAGTGACCCTCTCTTCCTCAAGTATGAACCGCCTTAGAGCAAGAGAATGGAATTGCAGAGAGAGGCTTAGGTTAAACCTGTCCCTAACAGCAGCACTCCTAAGCCATGCTGCCGCCATGAATGCACTAGTAACAAACTTCAGGAAGTCATTTGTGCTTTATCTGTGCTCTTTGGGAAAAAAGAAGTGACAAAAATTCCTCTATTAACCGTAGGTGGTTTTTTGGTTCATGTCTAAGAATGTCAGTATTTTCTCATACTAAATAAAGTAAGCCTACAATTTAAAATTCTTCTCTAATTTTCATGAATATATTTAAGACTCAGCCTAGTGCTAAACTTTTAATATTTTCCAAACATTTATTTAACTTTTTAAAAATTACTTAATTTGTTGTATGCCAAAGACCTGCTAATCTCAGACAAGTCTACTTAATATGAGGTGGGAGGAATTGGGAAGATGTTAAAAATACTAATAATTTTGTTGATAGAGTTTGAGAATCCTTAATCCAAAATCAAAAAGTCCCCAAATCCTAAATGTTGACATGACATTTCAAGTGATCCTACATCATGATATTTTGTTTCCTGCATAAAATTATTAAAAATATGTATAAAACTAGCATTAGGCTTCATATATAACCTATGTATGAAACATGAATTTTGAGTTGAGACTTGGGCCCATTCCTAAGATATTTTTATTTTACTCATGCAACTATCTCAAAGTAAAAAAAAAAAATCTAAAATACTTTTTATTTCTAAGCCCTTAGAACAAAGAATACTCACCTTCTCCTATAATGATGGTCTCAGGGCTTTATAGTCACTATTTTATTTAATCCCCCTGACAAGCCAGGGAGGTGGGACATCATTATTCCTTAGCTTCCAGGTGAGGAAACCTGGAAGTGCTAAGACAGAACAGGTAATAGTTAAGTGACAGAGCCAGGACAAAAGCCAGATCCATCTGAACTCAGCCTCTGCTCCTAACCTTGACATGGTTAGGCCTTACTCACCTATTCTATCAGGATTTTGTGTCCACATTTATGTTAGTCCTAAATTTCTAAAACTGACAATAACTATTACTGATGATCATTAATTGTTTACCAATCACAGTTGGAGGCTTTTGGGGGGGCTGTTTGTTTGTTTGTTGGTTGGTTGGTTGGTTGGTTGGTTGGTTGGTTGGTTTTTTGAGGTAGGGTCTCACTATGGAGTCCAGATTATCGAAGAACTCAAGGCTATCCTCCTGTCTCAGCCTCCCAAGTTCTGGGATTTTAGGTATGTGCCACCTCTGGCAGTTTTGGGCATTTTAACTACATGACCTCACTTCATCATTTTAACACTTCTCTATAGACAAGGAAACTAAGTGAACAAATTACACTCCAATGTCAAAGGCAGTAAGAAAGAGCATCAGTCAAATTCCAAGCTATCTAAATTCAAAACCCGTGTTCTTTGTACCACAGCATCCTGTCTCCTATAACAGGGTTAGTTGTACAAAGTCCAGAAAGTTCATTTTTAAGACAACAAGATTAGCGTATTTTGAGCAATAGCAAATTAATATATCTCTCTTTTCTCTCCTCTCCTCCCTTCTTAGTCTCTACCACAAATTGTAGTTGTTTATATATTTTTAATTCTTTCCATTATCCTTTAAGAATTTGCAGATCAAGCCGGGCATGGTGGCTCATGCTTGTAATCCCAGCACTCAGGAGGCTGAGACAGGAAGATCCTTGTGCGTTCGAGACCAGCCTGGGCTACAAAGTGAGCTCAAGGCCAGCCTGAACTGCATAGAGAAACCCTGTCTCAAAAAGACAAAAAAAAAAAAAAAAAAAAAAAGAATTTGTGGGTT